AAAATTGAACTCTTACATGAACTCGCATCCCTAAATACACACATAGTTAGGGATCAGATGTTAAACCGAGGTCCCATTTGCCTGTTCAGGTGAGTATTAAGGTATTATGGTACTACTTATGGTACTACTTAAACAGTTTTTATACCCAGCATATTATAATAGACTCAACGTTTACTTGTTAAATTTTGGCAGTATCCTGATACATTCTGGGTTCCCTGAAGCACTTGTCAACTTATGTCTAAACTTTCAGGAATTGGCAAGCTGGGTGCATAAGTAATAACTCTTGCTTTTAGTATAACATCTAAAACATCAATAACTCAAAGTGACTCACAAAATTTCCGTAAAGCATAGTGACTGTATATTCATGAGCAAAAATGGCAGGCAATTTACACACTGAAATTTGAGTGACCCAATTTGGAGGATTTTTGGCCAGGACACTGTGGAAGAAACTCCCTTGTATTTTTGAATATTGTTGTGAGATCTTTAACATCCGTTTAAATGGGCAGTTGGGGCTTCAGCTTAATATGCTTTAGATGATTGATTGTTTGATGAAGCATTGCATCACTGACAGTGCAGCACTACACTGGAGTGTCAGCCCAGGCTATGCGCTCAAAAGTCTGAACATGGTGCTTGAACCCAGAAGCGAGTCCCACAAACTGAGCCAGGCTGATACTTGATGATATCCTGTTATTATACAAATGGAAATCTTACATACTTGGAACTCTGAGTAGTTTGATTTGGAGACTCTTAAACTTGATGCGAGATGTCTATCTGCATTCAGGCAGCGAGCATTTAATACTACTGCAATATTTAAAAATAAGTGATGTGCTAAACCCAGTCTCTAATAGATTCTTACAGATGTTTGTTTCCCCCAGAGGAACTTCTAACAAGACTTAAAAGATTTTTATTGGGTTTAAGTCTTGAAGGATTTGACTTGCTGACCCCTGACCTTTGTAAGGGGCTTTGGTAACAGCATTAAAATTTGATAGAATCTCGCCTGTTACACACAGTCTAAATGAAATTACTGAATCCCTGTGTGCATGGGAAAAGAAGCTCTCTACATTGTTCAAAATAGATGGGAAACAGACATGTGTTAAAGAATTCTTGCTGTATACCTTAAGGAAGTTTTTTAACAGATATTTTCTGTATGATGCTCAGGTACTACTGTATCACCCAAATGTTGCTTTTCTAATGGTTAGTTGCTCTCAAATTTCAAAACTGTGTGTATTTTGTTTTATTTTGAGACTTCTATAGTTTTTTGCCTGGAGCCACATTTTTCGTTTGCTGTTAAGGCATCAACTGTACAATCCAAACTAGATGAATGATTTACGATGTTTCATGAGATAAAAGGAAAAATAACATTATGTTTTACAACTGTATCCATTTGGCCCAACTTGTCCATGATGGTGTTCATACTTCACATGAGCCTCCATCCCTCACATTCCCCTCACCTATACCCCTCTATTCATTTCTCTCTTACGTAAACTTCTTAAATCCATTGATTCGCTTTTGCTTCTGTTCCAAGTGGCGGAACAGACTCGATGGACTGAATAGTCTACTCTTGATCGCAATATATTGGTGCCTTGCTTCTGATTCTTATACAGCAAAACCTCTGCGGTGTAATGAAATCCAACCTAAGATCTTTAAAAGGTTTCGATTTTAATTCCTGGGCTAGAGACTAGACAATAATAGATGCTAGTGCGATGGCATTGGTTTCGACACGTACCGGTGTATGGGGTATTGTAACAGACATCCCTTGACTTTGCAATGGGCAACAGTTTCAGGTATTATGCTCTGATTCAAGATGACTGAGTAACACAAGGCCTTTTGAAAGTATTTTCGTGCGCGCTGAATGATGCTGGGGCTCAAGTGTTGAGCACCCACAGTGCAAACAGACAGTGCCATCAGATTGCCTCTACTCAACCAGACCAGGGTGTCTTGACTGAGCTCACAACAGTGCTGTTATTTATGTAATATACTATTTTTAGTGGTGCCCACTTGACCAAGCTTCATATTTTGAAGTCAATTTGCATTTGTTTCATGTATCACCATAACCCCAGTTAATAAGCATCAGAAATTCTAGTATCCAGACTTTCTGTGATTTTCTTACCATTGCAGAATGTGTGCTTTAAGATCATTTTTAAATCACGTTTGATTATAAAGCCTTTTTTTCTGCAGTTCTTAGCAAGAATCTACAGCTTCAAAAAATCTGCCTGAAAGGGTGGTGGAAGCCGATTCGATAACAACTTTTAAGAGAGAACCAGATAATTATTTGGGGAGGACGAGTTTGCAGGGCTATGGGGAGAGAACAGGGGAGTTGGATCGATTTGGATAGCTCTTTTCAAAGTGCCAGCACAGACACGATGGGCCCAATGGCCTCCTTCTGTGCTGTATGATTCTATGATTTAAGAATTTGTCAAAAATGTGCACGCTCTGAAATCCCAATGAATGGTTCCACATCAAGATCCAGATGCAATTGTTCATTGCCCTTTGTTGCATTGTAATTTGGGAATTGATATAGGATTTGTTCAAGTCATTCAAGCTCCATTGAGTCTAATTTAAATTTCCATTCACAGCCGCTTGCTCATTTACTCTCAAATATCTCAAATTTTCGTGTTTTATTTAATCTCTAGCAGCTGGGAAGGGACCTATGTATCACAATGCATTTCAGCGAGCATTTCTAATATCAAAATAGACTTTTACTTATAACCCAGTTTGCGCATGAAGCTCATTATATTTCTTTTGAAGCATAACGCTGAATATTATGGCTTTAAATGTTTCCACGGAGAGAAATATTCAAACAGAAGAAGTAAAAGTTTATTTTGTGCCTAGATCTGGTTGATGGTTGCAAGGAAAGTAAACGGGGGTGAAAATGTGACATTTTGCATGAGAAGAAACAGTTAACTACACTTTCTAATATGTGAATGGTAATGCAATATTAATGACATTAGCCACGGAATGATAATGCGATGTTAACAACATTAACTACAGAATGAAAACGAGCCAACGAGTGAATAGAGATGTGACTCAGCGAGGGACTGTATATAAATCAGAGCAAGCATATCGCTTGCTAGGAGTTAGAAGTTCCGAAGGAGCAAGAGACTACGGTCAGCATAGATTATTCGCCGTTTGCTATCATGTTGAACAATCCTTGGACACTCGCCTAATACGACTAATAAATATTAAACTAAAAAATATATAATAATCATCACGTTTGATATCATGCACTTCATGTCAGGAGCACATCTCAGAAGCACTTACTGGATTTACTGGAAAGTGACTGTGTATTCGATTGCCAAATAGCATATGTCAAACTTACTCCTGGGAATGAATAGGTTTCAAGATGAATGGCCTTTACCTGGTCTGTGGGTTAGCTTCTCATGGTACTTTATTTCAGGGGGATGGGGGTGGGGGACATCATTTGATGCAGGTCTTAATACAAGTTTTAACAAAATAATAAAAGCACATTTCATATCAGGAGGGGGTCTCAAAAGTGCTTTACAGGATTTACTGTACGGTGCACAGTTTAGTCATTCACTAAACCATGTTTGCTTTCCTCTCTGTTGCTTCCCACAACAAAGCATTGTCTGGAGCTGTGCTTGTCAGTGTTCAGCACCCAAGGGGAAATATTCTGAGTATCAAGACTGTTCACTTTATCAGAAGCAATGCTTGACAGCAGCTGGCACTTTCCATCCAACGTGCAGCCACGAGAATAGAAAGAGATACAGAGACCTGAAAAATTTTGTCACTTCACCTTTCACAATTTTTCTATCAAACTGTAGCTTCACTGCACGATGCAGCAAAAGTGGATCATTGACACAATGGATGCAGCCAACAGAATAGGGGGCTTCACACAACGTTCACCCACATGACACCGTCACTCATGAACATGAAACAGGTCGGAGTTGGCTGAGCGAAGGGAACGACAGGGTTGTAGGATTGAAGGAGGTCACAGAGATGGGCAAAATAATGGAGAGATTTAAAAGTAAGAATAAGGCTCTTGAGCTTGATCTGCTGGGGGATGGGAAAACAGTGGAGCTGAACGAGAATGGGGGAGGGGTGATAGACTTGCGGGATAAATCTAGCCCGGGAGATCACGGAGCTTGCCTCCTTTCTATCACGAAACCTGACTGTCTGCCACTGTAAGTAAGTATTGTCTTGAGAGCTGTCTCGTCTCCAAATGACTCTCACTAATCAATCAAGGGGACTATTAATACTATTTAGCCCCATGGTCTGATAAAACACATAAAAGTAATTCTTTTCAAATTTAAGAAGCGGTCATTCATTTTTCATTTAGTACAACAGGTGTTAATGTGGCATCAGTGCCATGACATGACAGATTTATGTCCGCATCGTGTGCGGAGATGTCTTTTCAGTTGCGATGTGAAACATGCTGGTGCCTGACCTGCTAGAACTGTGGCTAAGAAAGTGTAATGGCAGATGCATGGTCTTTGCTCCGTTTACGTTTGAGAATAGATAATTTGCAGAGGAGCTTGTGTTGGAGGAAATTTGTGTTAAGTGTGGTAAGGAGATTCAACGATGGAGAATAATAGTGTCTTGTATAAGAAAATGCTTAGGTGATCCAGAAGAGAATTTAAGCAGAATTACTTTACACAGAAGATACTGAGAATGTGCAACTCGCAGCCCAAAGAAATGGTTGAATTGGATGGTGTAGATGCATTAGGTACTCCACCATGAGTGTCCAACCACTCCTTACTGCCTCCCATACCCTTCTATTCAAAGGGTATGGGAGGGAGTAAGTAGTGGATGGAGACTTGTTGAGTATAAACACAGGTACGGAATAGGATAACCGAATGGCTTGTTTACATGCTGTACATTCTGTGTAAATCCCTGTACGCTTGTGAAAAGCTTTGCAGAAATAACCTAGGAAATTGCAGCACAGAAGAGTAATGTGCACAGTGTCTCAGAGTTCATCTCAGGAGCCGCTGGAAACATTGAAGCAAACTTTCTTTATTCAATAAACTTTGTTTTTTCCACAGGAGGAACTGCGATGACCCCACAGAACATGTGAACATCCAAATGTTGGGCCAGCCTCCTATTTCTCCTGCACAAAAGCTATTTATACGAAATGTGTTGAATTGCAAAGAATGAAATTTAACACACTTGTCAGAAGAAGTTGACATTGTGTTGAGTCTCACAAGATGTAATCAATTTGGCCTCGTTGTCTGAACGTGTCATCACACATCATTGCTTCTGCCCATCTACCGTGTAATCTCGTTGGATCTTGGAGGCAGTGTAAAAAAAAATTTAAAAAATCTTTTTGCTTAAGCTTTGCATTTTAGGTTGCAAATAATACATTAAAAATACAAAAAAATGCACCCTGAAAGGTTCCTAAAGAGACTTGTAATTTCTGCCTTTCTGATCTGATTTAATACTTGCTCAACTTGCATTTTACAACTTTACAATATACTCGGTGAAGTGCTTTGAGATGTCTCAACGACGTGATAAGGCGCTATATCAAATGCAATCAATATTATTTATACAGCACCCTTCATGCAATATGATGTGTTGGAGTGATGAACAGTGGCCAGATTGGATGCTGAGGTGATGAAAGGCGTAGTCAAAGAGATGAATCTTAAACTCGGATTGAAAGATAAAGAAGGTGCGAGAATGAAGGATTGAGGCAAGAGCGATTCAGAAGTTAAGGGCATAGTAACTGAAGATGCAGCCACTGATGGTGGCATGGAGGGAACAGGTGTGTGCGGACCCTTGTGTCAGTGGTTAAGGGGAGGGAAGGTATGAGCGGGTCAGAGAGGTAATGGAGTGCTCGGGAGCAAGGGATCCACGTGAGGGTGAGCATCTTGAAATCGATCCTTTCTGAGACTTGCAGCCAATGGAGCTTGCCAAAATTGGGGTGACAATTTACATTTAAACATTGCCCTTCACACAGGATCATGCCTCGGAGTGCTGTAGAGAAAAAAAAACGCTTTTAATGGCTTTAGTGTAGTAATTAAATATAACAGAGGTGAGAAAAAATGTTGCCAGAGTTGCAGATTTGCGGATCCAATATTCAAACAATTCACAATGGAGATGCCTACTCTACTTGTAATTGGTATTCATCATGTGCTTGAGAGATCTGCAGTTCTACACAGCTGCTACACCTACCTGTGAGACACAAGATAAGTGAATAACCCTTTCAGTGACACTGTCATTTTTTTAGAGAACTCCCTACTGCGTGCTCATTCTTTGCAAATCTTTGTTCTTGAGGCTGAGACTATGAAACCCCGAGGGATCTGACTTTCCAATGGAGCCGGGAGGTGGGAGTGGGGGGACCACTCGCTCGTGTTTGGATGCAGTAACCATGCCCTTAATCTTAGCCCAAGGCCACTAGTTGCACTGGGATCATCACAACTGCTGTTGCTGGCTTAGTGTCAAACTCAGCACAGAGGAGGATCAGACTGGCAAACATGTGGAGTCCTGTAGCTCAGTGGTTAGAGCACTCGCCTCGCAAGCGAGAGGACCTGGGTTCAATTCCCAGGCAGGGCAAAACTTTAGAGAGGCTTAATTATTCCAAATGCCTCTGTTTACCGAGCAGTAAGTCGAAACCCAGTTGTTAGTCAATTGGCAGATGATAATAAACACTTAAAAAAAACACGATTGCTGTGCCCACAAAATATGCAGTCAATTCACTTTACAATACGCACTGTGAAGCGCTTTGAGAAGTCTCAATTATGCAATAAGGCCCTATATCTAATGCAAGGATTATTATTATCTGGTGGAGTAAGACACACCAATGTTTTGGGTAGGTGCGATGCGGGTGGTGGAGGGAAATCTACCTATTTTGCAGTTGGTGGGGGGAGATTGAGGGGTGGGTCTGCCTCTTTAGGGTTGAGACTGAGAGCTTATTTTGGCTGATGATTCTTCCTCTACCCTTCATTCGACATTTAGCATCTGTACATCAGCTTTACTTACACTTTACTGAAGTTGTGAACTTAATATTTTAACATTGAGCTCAAGTGTCATTTCAGATCATCCTTCCTTTGATATTCTCTCTTGGTTTCCTTTCAGTGGATCAGGTGGCCTGTAATATTAACTATCCACTTTTGCAGATATTCTAGTGCTGGAATTGATTTCTCTATCCGAAGTAGCAACACTAAGCATTTGTAGCTTTTAGCTCTCGAGGGCTGTCGTCTTTGTCAATGATTTGGGATGGATTTTAGCTAGCTGGGAGCTAGTATACGTATCAGCCTGCCACAGTTGGTTGCATGCTCGCCTCCAAGTCAGAAGGTTGTAGGTTGAAGCCCCACATCAGGGCTTTGAACTTAAATAGTCTAGATTGATACTCCAATGCTGTGCTAGGAGTATTGGCTTCATTGCTGGAGGCATCGTCCTTCAGATGAAATGTTAAACTGAGGTCTGTCTGCCTGTTCAGGTTAGTAAAGATCCCATAGCACTATTCACATGGAGAAGAGAGTTTCTACCTGTATCCTGACCAACAATCCCCCCAATTAAAATTGGTCATTCACTTCATAGCTGTTTGCGGGTCATTCGTGTGGGCAAACTGGTTGCTGCATTTGCCTATAAAAATATATAATACATTTGGGAAGAAGAAAGGTAACTGAAAGCAAGGTCAAAAAGACATTGTAAGGATGGTTTTGAAGGCAGATGGGAGCTAACAAGGAGTTGGAACTCCTTGTATTCCAGAAAGTGGGAATAAAATAATTGAAACCTCATCCATCCAGGGTGGGTCTGGCCCTAAGTTTGAAGTGAAGTTGAAATTGAGCATCGGTTGCAATCACAACCCCCTGGATTGACATATGGCGAGTCATTTTCCCTTGACAATAGATTTTCCACTTACCCTCATTTCTGCTGAGCCACTATCTAACCATCTATCTCATTTCCAGCGATAGCATCACTTGATTTATAGTTTGTCATTCAGGAAGGCATGATATCCATTTCTTCCATCCTTCAGAGTGTACAAACATCCCTTCCCTACAAGCACAGAATCCACCTTCGGCAAAAAGCTTTGAATTCCCTCCCAAGTTGCTTTATAATTCATTAGACTGTGAGGTACAAATTCCTTTTCCAATAACAAGATTTCTTTCCCCTCCTATCTCTTGAGAGTTGGGCAAGATGTAGCAGGTGGGACACATTTGCTCAGGCAGTTTGTCAGATGACATGGTATATTATACTTTGAAAGTTTTCCTGGATTTAATAAAATGGAATACGCCCAACATCTCTGACATGAATTCATGAGACTTTTCACAAGTTGTCAATGCCGTTATCAACTATGTCTCTTATATGAATGTCACCTGAAGGTTATGAACAACCATTATTGTCTGATTCCACACTTGCCCAGGGATATGTTATCTGGATACTCGTCTACACCATTAACTCTTATACAGCCATTTGCAATATATCTGTACAAACTATACAGCAATAAGTGACGCTATGTGCATCAACCTTTTCCTTCGAGAATAATGCAAGACCCAAAGCAATCCCATCTGTTTGCACTGCACTCGTGTTAAGATGAGAATGTTTTCTGTTATGTTAGATAAATATCAACGTTCACTTTGTCACTTTGTGGTTGTTTTGTGGGACTTTGCTCTGTGCAAATCGGCTGCTGCGTTTGCCTGCAAAAGACACTGTCGCTACACTTTACAATAAATCCTGTGAAGCACTTCGAGAAGTCCTGCTGCCATGAAAGGCATTTTATTATTTTAAAATCCTTACCAGACTCATCACCCTGGTGTTCAAGACTGTCAGTAGGCTTGCTCCACCATTTAAACAATTGACCCCTGCCTGCACCCTGCACTCTTCAGACTCTGGTTTGCTGTTCATTTCATTCAAGAAGAAAAACAAAATAATTTGGTCACTCAATCCACAACTGTTTGTGGGACACTACTCTACGCAATTGGCTGCTGCGTTTCGCCCACAAATATACAGTAAATTCACTTTATAGTATATTCTGTAAAGCGCTTTGAGACGTCTCGAAGATGTGAAAAATGCTATATCAAATGCAAGGATTATTATTATTTGATGTAGTGTATTTTCATGTCGGTGAGATGTCTCAAAGTGCTTCACAGAATGTACTGTAAAGTGAATTGATTTATATTGTGGGTGAAACACGGCAGCGAAATGCACACAGCAGTGTCCCACAAACAGTCGTGAATTGTGCTACCAAATTAATATTATTTTATTGAAGAGATTATTACCCCCAGAAACCAATCCGCCAATTAACTAACAAATGGGTTCCTACTTACTGCTGGGTAAACAGATGTGTTTTGAGTAAGGAAACTTACCTAAGGTTTCACTCTGCTCGGGAATCGAACCTGGGTCCTCTTGATTTCCTCCCTTTCCTCCTTCAAGGCCGGTCTCAATACCTTTCTCTTTGACCGTGCCTTCAGCTCCCCTCTCAACTCTCTACTCACTCCTTGCCCCCTCCCCTCACCCTGACCATTTCCCCCCTGCTCGGATCCTGACCCAACTGTCCAGCGCCTTGGGACGTCCTCCCGACGTGAAAGGCGCTCTATAAATTGAATCTTGTTGTTGATTGTGAGACAAGTGCTCTACACCACTCCACAAACTCATTCTCCATTCCCTTCACTCCATCATCGGTGGCTGGACCTTTGACTACCATTCCCTTGCCATCTAGAAATATTTTCCCAAACCACTTTACCTTTCTTCAAAAATACCATGACTCTTATTTACATCTCTTTCCCTTGCTCTATGTGCATCCTTACATTTGTCGGGAATTTTGAGATGTTTTTGTGTATGTGAAAGGCATTGTAAGAATACTCTTGTGTCCAGTTTTTTTTTGCCAAGTGCTTTCTCTTGTAAAAGAAAATCTAACAGAACCAGAAATGATGCATACAGAGAATTCCATTTCTTATTTAAGGAAACATTAATATGTCTGAACATATAGACAGCAATAGTGGGGAGCACAATGGGTGTAGGATAATAATAATAATAATCCTTGCATTTGATATAGCGCTTTTCACGTCGGGAGGATGTCCCAAAGCGCTTCACAGAACACACTGTAAAGTGAATTGACTGTGAACAAACGCGACAGCCAATTGCGCACAGCAATGTCCCACAAACAGTCGTAGATTGAAAATGACCAATTATTGTTTTGGGTTTTTGGAGGGATT